CAACAATAACAACAATAACCGCCACCACAGCGACCAGGGCCGCGCCTCCTACCTGAGCGGGGAGACTCCGACTGAGGGGCGGGGTCTGGGGGTAAAGGGCGGGGCCGGGGTGAGGGGCGGGGCTGGGGGTGAGGGGCGGGGCCGGGGGTGAGGGGCGGGGCCGGGGGTGAGGGGCGGGGCTGGGGGTGAGGGGCGGGGCCGGGGGTGAGGGGCGGGGCCGGGGTGAGGGGCGGGGCCGGGGGTGAGGGGCGTGGTCTGGGATGAGGGGCGGGGTCTAGGGGTGAGGGGCGGGGTCTAGGGGTGAGGGGCGGGGTTTGGGGGTGAGGGGCGGGGCCGGGGGTGAGGGGCGTGGTCTGGGATGAGGGGCGGGGTCTAGGGGTGAGGGGCGGGGTTTGGGGGTGAGGGGCGGGGCCGGGGGTGAGGGGCGGGGTCTAGGGGTGAGGGGCGGGGGCCGGGGGTGAGGGGCGGGGCCGGGGGTGAGGGGCGTGGTCTGGGATGAGGGGCGGGGTCTAGGGGTGAGGGGCGGGGTTTGGGGGTGAGGGGCGGGGTCTGGGGTGAGGGGCGGGGCCGGGGGTGAGGGGCGGGGCTGGGGGTGAGGGGCGGGGCCGGGGGTGAGGGGCGGGGCCGGGGGTGAGGGGCGGGGCCGGGGGTGAGGGGCGGGGCTGGGCGTGAGGGGCGGGGTATGGGGGTGAGGGGCGGGGCTGGGGGTGAGGGGCGGGGGTCTGGGGGTGAGGGGCAGGGCCGGGGGTGAGGGGCGGGGCTGGGGGTGAGGGGCGGGGCCGGGGGTGAGGGGCGGGGCTGGGGGTGAGGGGCGGGGCCGGGGGTGAGGGGCGGGGCCGGGGGTGAAGGGCGGGGTCTGGGGGTGAGGGGCGGGGCTGGGCGTGAGGGGCGGGGGTCTCTGGGGTGAGGGGTGGGGTCTGGGGTGAGGAGCGGGGCCGGGGGTGAGGGGCGGGGCCGGGGGTGAGGGGCGGGGCCGGGGGTGAGGGGTGGGGTCTGGGGGTGAGGGGCGGGGCCGGGGTGAGGGGCGGGGCCGGGGGTGAGGGGTGGGGTCTGGGGGTGAGGGGCGGGGCAGGGGGTGAGGGGCGGGGCCGGGGGTGAGGGGCGGGGCCGGGGGTGAGGGGCGGGGTCTGGGGGGTGAGGGGCGGGGTCTGGGGGTGAGGGGCGGGGCTGGGGGTGAGGGGCGGGGTCTGGGGATGAGGGGCGGGGTCTGGGGGTGAGGGGCGGGGTCTGGGTGTGAGGGGCGGGGTCTGGGTGTGAGGGGCGGGGCCGGGGGTGAGGGGTGGGGTCTGGGGGTGAGGGGCGGGGCCGGGGTGAGGGGCGGGGCGGGGGTGAGGGGTGGGGTCTGGGGGTGAGGGGCGGGGCGGGGGTGAGGGGCGGGGCGGGGGTGAGGGGCGGGGCCGGGGGTGAGGGGCGGGGCCGGGGGTGAGGGCGGGGTCTGGGGGTGAGGGCGGGGTCTGGGGGTGAGGGGCGGGGCTGGGGGTGAGGGGCGGGGTCTGGGGATGAGGGGCGGGGTCTGGGGGTGAGGGGCGGGGTCTGGGTGTGAGGGGCGGGGTCTGGGTGTGAGGGGCGGGGCCGGGGGTGAGGGCGGGGGTATGGGGTGAGGGGCGGGGATGGGGGTGAGGGCGGGGTCTGGGGGTGAGGGGCGGGGCTGGGGGTGAGGGGCGGGTCCGGGGGTGAGGGGCGGGGCCGGGGGTGAGGGGCGGGGCTGGGGGTAAAGGGCGGAGCCGGGGGTGAGGGGCGGGGTCTGGGGGTGAGGGGCGGGGCCGGGGGTGAGGGGTGGGGTCTGGGGGTGAGGGGCGGGGCCGGGGTGAGGGGCGGGGCCGGGGGTGAGGGGTGGGGTCTGGGGGTGAGGGGCGGGGCCGGGGGTGAGGGGCGGGGCCGGGGTGTGAGCGGCGGGGCCGGGGGTGAGGGGCGGGGTCTGGGGGTGAGGGGCGGGGTCTGGGGGTGAGGGGCGGGGTCTGGGGGTGAGGGGCGGGGCTGGGGGTGAGGGGCGGGGTCTGGGGATGAGGGGCGGGGTCTGGGGGTGAGGGGCGGGGTCTGGGTGTGAGGGGCGGGGTCTGGGGGTGAGGGGCGGGGTATGGGGGTGAGGGGCAGGGTCTGGGGGTGAGGGGCGGGGTCTGGGGTGAGGGGCGGGGTTTGGAGGGAGAGGGGCGGGGTCTGGGGGTGAGGGGTGGGGTCTGGGGGGCGAGGGGAGGGGTCTGGGGGTGAGGGGCGGGGTCTGGAAGTAAGAGGGGGGGGGGGGGTAGAGGCTGCGTCGTGGATACCGTGCAGGGAAAGTGTCTAATATTTGCTCATTGATCTTTGCGTGACCCCCTTAATTTTGACCGCGTCCCCGCACGAACTCTGCAATACGATGTCTAAAGAAGCAGAGTCAGAACGTGATGGAGTCGTGGGCACACGGTGATTACATCTGCTGTGGAATTGGGGGAAGCTGCCCCAGGACTGGAGGAAAACAATCAGTGATTGACCAAATATCCCAGTGTGAAATCCTTCTTCAACACAGCCTTGAGACTCAGGCTTTCCTGGGTAAATATACTGCAGTGACTGCCACGATTACAGCGTTACTATGGGAACCTCATTTGCCAGTAAAAATATGATAATTGTTTTTTTTACTCTTCTATCTGGACCAGATGACGCCATCTGGTCCAACCCATGTGAGACTAGGCTCTAAGGAAAGCTGTCTCGGGTGTGGACCAATCAACTAACAAGGACAGTGCATATATTATCAGAGTTATGTATTTTGTTTGTATTATGACTGCAGGTATTGCGGTCTATGCAAACATGACTCCTTGTAAAAAGGTGTCAGTTTTGTTGCCAGATAGAAGGGTATAAAAACAATTATGATTACAGCGTTGTTGTATCAAGGTCACGATGTAGGCGGGTTATGCCCCATCTCTGTTAGAAGCTGAAAAGCCCCTCCTCAATGACAAGGTTTGCTTGCATCAGCAGCTTTGGATATGATTACATCTTGATTTAATCAAAAGGTATTAATAAACATAGCATTGAAAAATGTTGATACTCCTACTGATGCTCCTGCTGTTGTGGAGTGACTCATTCAGCCAGCTATGGCTACAGAGTTTTGGTGGTACATGTTGTTTATGTTGTTTATTGTAAAATTTCGGTCACAGTTCCTATGGTCACTGTTACATTGCTTTTATGGCTTTATTTTGGTGATTTCGAAAACGTTTTTTTTGGTTTGGCCATGTTTGTTTGTTGTAGTACGGAGTTAGAATAATGGCTTTAATCTAAGTTGTCTTGTGGTTGTTGTTGTTTGACTTGCACTGGGATTCTTGCACACAGCGTTGGTGTACGGTGCTTTTTTCTGGAAGATTCTTTTGCAGTTTTTTCCTGGATTTTTCTATTTGCACATAGTCACTTTAAGATGTTTTCTTGTTCATGTTTTTGTTTTTTGTTTGTTGCGGTTGCACCCGATTCAAGAGCCGAATGGCTCACAGGGCTATACCTAATAAATGAAACTGAAAACTGAAACTTAACATGGCCCATAGAAGGGTTGCTCGTGATGGGTGTTAATGATTTACTGCTTTATAATTGGTTTTTTACCCTTCTATCTGGCAACCAAACTGACACCTTTTTACAAGGAGTCATGTTTGCATAGACCGCAATACCTGCAGTCATAATACAAACAAAATACATAACTCTGATAATGCGCACTGTCCTTGAAGTTGATTTTCTCGGGTGTGAACCAATCAACTTCAAAGACAGTGTCTCGGGTGTGAACCAATCAACTTCAAGGACAGTGCGCATTATCAGAGTTATGTATTTTGTTTGTATTATGACTGCAGGTATTGCGGTCTATGCAAACATGACTCCTTGTAAAAAGGTGTCAGTTTTGTTGCCAGATAGAAGGGTAAAAAACCAATTATCATATTTTTACTGGCAAATGAGGTTCCCATAATGATTTACTGCTTGCAGAGGGGACTGTGAGACATTGCGAGGTTGCCAGGTGACCTCCGATTATAACCCTGTTGGCCATGTACGGTGCGAAAGAAGTTCTACATACGTACACACATAAGCCATCATATACATATCTTGCTGGTTGGTGATGGTTCTGGTGGGCGCTCTCTTAGACTCGTTCCATTATTTGGCTGCCAATTCGTTGGTCATGACGTGTGTCCTATTGATGCCAAACTTCCCTTTATTAACTATTTGAATTACAATCATGTCCTCTTCTTGGTTTTTTCGGTATATTATGTTAATTTTTATTATTTTATTACTTCCCTTCTACGTGACTTTACCGAAAAAACCAAGATGAATCCCTGCAGTCACGAAAGCTTTAAATCGAAATACAATCATGTCCTATAAAATAATAAAAAAATGAAAATAAAGTGATTAAAAAATAATAAAAATATCACGTTTCGATCGCAACACAAGCAATCGTCACCAGGAGACGTGTTATTATTTTTTCTATCTATCTATCTAACGTGACGTTACCGAAAGAACCATAGAATATGAATTCCTGCAGTCACGAAAGTTTTAAGTCAACATTTACAATTATGATAATTTGTTTTTTTACCCTTCTATCTGGCAACAAAACTGACACCTTTTTTACAAGGAGTCATGTTTGCATAGACCACAATACCTGCAGTCATAATGCAAACAAAAAACACAACTCTGATCATGTATGCACTGTCCTTGAAGTTGATTGGTCCACACCCGAGACAGCTTTCCTTAGAGCCTAGTCTCACATGGGTTGGACCAGATGACGCCAAAAGGCGCACAACTCAAAGACAATGCACCATCAGAGTATGAGAGCTCGGGGTGAAGCATTTACACCATTGGAACCTCATTTGCCAGTAAAAAATAAGATAATTGGGTTTTTTTACCCTTCTATCTGCCAACAAAACTGACATCTTTTTTACAAGGAGTCATGTTTGTTGTGCTATGAAGAAGGGTAATGTCCCGAAACGTTGCCTGTAACATATTTATTTTCCTTTTAAGGCCACAGCATTATTGACAAATGTGTCGTTCACCCGGGGGCTATGCACGCCGGTAATCCGGCACTGCAGAGGCAGCGAGGATTGATTGGTGGATCACCGCGCAACTTTTGCGAGAATTCCCTCCCACGTGGGCACCGAGGTTTTGTTCCCTGGCTCGCCAGGAGGAGGCGCTAGAGCACAAATGTCGACTACACCCGCCCTTCTACCGTCTGTCTCAACGAAGGGATGTGGAGAGTCCCTTGGGGGCCGTCCATACATGACGTCACGGACCTAGGAGGAGGGGGGGGGTCAGACATTTGTGACGATGTGTGATAGGGGGGGGGGGGGGGTTGAGAAATGTGACGTCACGTAAAAATGCGCAACTTTCAATAAATATAGACAACACGTTCTATTTAATTCAATAGACTTTTTAATAAATGTTTTCTCCTGCAGCGGCACATTAAATACACACTACAATGACAATAGTTTAAAGCGATTTGAAGCATGTTTTATTTCTTGGGGAGGGTAGAGCTTTGTGATGTCATATTTGAAGGGGGTGGTCTAACTTTTTGTGACGCCGTGTGACGAGGGGGGGGGGGGGGTAAAAAATCGTCCAAAATCACGTGACGTCATTTATGGACGGCCCCTTGACCCCTTTCGTGCCTTATTTTTGTTCAGGTGCTCCGGTTTCCTCCCACTCGTAAACAATTATTAACCGACCCATAACGCCTTAATACATAGAGTACCGCAGAACTTGGGAAATATTTTGCGCCGGTTTGTCACGTGCCTGCCTTCTTGCTGCAGGTCTGCAGTTCCTCGACTGCGCCTCCAAGTCAATGTCTCACTACGAGAGTGAGCGGACACTCTGTGTGCGTTACAAGTTTTAATTTGTGATTATATTGTGCCTCTAAACCAGGGGTGGGGAACGTCCGGCCCGCGGGCCGTATGAGGCCCACGAAATCATTTGGTCTCTGGCCCTGCCAAGGCAACCGCAGGCAGGACTCGAAATTCAACAAATCTAGGAACAAACCTGGAAAAGCAGTTGCGAGTAGCAGCAACATCATCAATACCGGCTAACATTATACGCCTCGCCGAAGAGAAGCAGTTCCAGCCCATCGCATTAGGGGCGAGTTAATTAAATGTTTGACCAAATATAGCAGGCCAATTTTTAAGTTGATCATTTTGTATGGCCCGCGAATGATGTTATATAAATATCCAAATGGCCCTTGGCAGATAAAAAGGTTCCCCACCCCTGAAAGTCTAAACCATCACCACCACCCATTCATCCAGCAGTAGATAGACAATGGCTAAGGATGAATACGTACAAAATACAAATTCTTCCACGGGGTCTGGGGGGACCCCCCCCCCCAGACCCCGTGGAAGATTTGGTCCCCCCCAATGTTGACTCAATGGCTACGGCCTTGCTGCATTCACACACCGTGCAAAGGTAATTTATTCCTTCTAGATTTGAAGTGGCTTTGTCCTAATTCGAGATTTGAAGTTTTCGTGACTGCAAGGATCCATACTCTTTGATTTTTTCGGTAAAGTCACGTAGGTGAGAATACAAATAAAAATACCACGACGTTTCGGAGGCAACACACAAGCTTCTGCCTTCAGGTACAACTGTTACAGCCAAAAATGACTTGTGTTGCCTCCGAAACGTCGTGACATTTTTATTTGATTATCTCACCTACGTGAGTTTACCGAAAAAAACAAAAAAGAATGGCTTTGTCCTCTTAACTTTCACGGCTGCAGGAAGTTTACAAGCGAACGAGCGAGGTTGATGTCGTGATTTCGAAAAGTTTATTGGTTTGGCCATATTCTTAGGTTTTTTCGGTAAAGTCAGGTAGGTAAAAAATACATTTGAATTTTTAATTTTTTTTCGGTAAAGTCAGGTAGGTAAAAAATTAATTTTATTTTTACCTACGTGACTTTACCGAAAAAACCTAAGAATATGAATCCTTGCAGTCACGAAAGCTTCAAATCTAGAATGGTTTGGCCATGTTTGTTTGTTGTAGTACGGAGTAAGACTGATGGCCTTAATCTAAGTTGTCTTGTGGTTGTTGTTGTTGTTTGACTTGCATCCCACTGGGATTTGTGCACACAGCGTTGGTGTACGGTGCTTTTTTCTGCAATATTTTGCTGTCTTTTCTTGGATTTTCAGTTTGCACTTAGTCACATATTCACTTTAAGATGTTTAATTAAATTTTTTTATTTTTTACCTACGTGACTTTACCGAAAAAACCTAAGAATATGAATCTTTGCAGTCACGAAAGCCATGTTTGTTTTAGTATAGAGTAAGACTGATGGCCTTAATCTAAGTTGTCTTGTTGTGGTTGTTGTTGTTTGACTTGCACCCCACTGGGATTTCTGCACACAGCCTTGGTGTACGGTGATTTTTTTCTGCAATATTTTGCTGTCTTTTCTTGGATATTCTGTCTGCACTTAGTCACATATTCACTTTAAGATGTTTTCTTGTTCATGTTTTTTGTTTGTTGCGGTTGCACCCGATTCAAGAGCCGAATGGCTCACAGGGCTACACCTAATAAATGAAACTTGAAAACTTGTCTTGTATGCAAACAACCCACGGCCTCACATCAGCTGAAGCCGCGTGGCGTTGCCACGGTAACGGTTGCCATGCTAACGGTTGCCACGGTAACGGCAGCGCCCATCGCTTCCCCTCGCGGTCCCCGCTTTTCGTTCCCCTCATCGTCGTTCAACATCCTCCTCGTCCGCCTCCTCACACTCCTCCTCCTTCTCACACCCCTCCTCTTCATCGTCTGCACCACGCGCCTCTGCTTCGTCGTCCGCTTCGGGCCGCCGTCGTCCTCGTTTCGAATGAAGGCGACCGCGGCCTAGGGCCTCCCCGTGCAGCCTCGGCCTGGTCTGGACGCGCTGCCCGGCTTGGTGCGTGGAGCCCCCCCGGGAGCCCAGGCAAGTTGCTCCCTCCTCTAGTCGCGTCCGTAGTCAACTAAAGTTAGATTAAAAAAACCTCGACACGTTCGTCAATATCATGAATATATATATAATAGGCGATGTTTCGGGAAATAGCCCTCAGCAGAACGGAATTGAAACTCTTTTCATAGAGAAGGGCCTTTGTCCGAAACGTCACCCACTCGATATTGTTCATCTTTATGGCAGGGCAGTAATGGAGAGTGGTGAATGTGTCGAGTTGATGTTTGTTTGTTTGTGCACCACTGGCAACGCATTATCGTCGCATCCTTTATGGTCAAATGAAATTTAAATCGAACGCGATATCCGTGTGAGGTTGCGTGTAGTAACGCCACAGGGTTTTATACTTGCCACAGTAGTTCTGTGAATATGTAAGATGATGTGGTTGAACGTGATATTAAAGCATGGCAAATATATTAACACGAGCTTCAAACTCGTATCGGACACAGCCTACGTGTGTGTGGACGAAAGATAGGAGCTGCTGTTTTTAAATCCTTTATATTAAGTTCACTTGCTTGCTTGCTTGCACGCTTACGACCGTGCAAATCTTTTGATCGTTTTTTAACCCACTTCCCGTGATCCAATCGAGCTGACATTTTGCACACAGACTCGTTGTGCGTGACAATTTATTTTCGTGAAATTTTTTTTCCATAACTTTACACTTTTTAGGAATTTTTTTTATATTTAATTACCAATTGCTTAATGGTGACAGGCAATCATCCCACCCATAGGTGGCAGCCATCTCAAGCCAGAGGACGAGAGGACTCTAGCCGCCACGCATATAAAGGATTTATAGTGAAAAACTTTGTTTTTACGGGTTAATTTTTTTTGATCTGGTATTTAGTTCATCCAGCATCACCAACAAACGTCACTTTGGATGTTTGGGTGTCGCGTCTGGGGTTGGACCCACAGACACTGCGCCACACGATGATCATCTCACCGCTTCATCATGATAATAGAGAGGTTTTTTGGGTTAGATCGCGTAAATATATAAATGTGTCGTTAAAACCCTCCACCGCCCGACACAACCAACTAGTAAGGGTTGTCACGTAAACAGACCGTGGCCAATTCGTCACCTGTACAGCACACCGGTGTGTAAGCCTACGTGTTAAACCGCTTCATCATGATCAACCACGCACGGACCTGATTTCCACCTCCTGGATGAAGCCCTCTCCCCCCTGGGGCCCTCCCTGGAGCCCCCCCCCTCCTGGAGCCCCCCCCCCCTGGAGCCCCCCCCCCCTGGAGCCCCCCCCCCCGTCCCGGAGCCCCCCCCCCTCCTGGAGCCCCCCCCTCCTGGAGCCCCCCTCTCCTTGAGCCCCGCCCCCTCCTGGAGCCCCCCCCTCCTGGAGCCCCCCCCCCGCCTGGAGCCCCCCCCCTCCTGGAGCCCCCCCCTCCTTGAGCCCCCCCCTCCTGGAGCCCCCCCCCCTCCTTGAGCCCCGCCCCCTCCTGGAGCCCCCCCCCTCCTGGAGCCCCCCCCCTCCTGGAGCCCTCTCTCTCCTGGAGCCCCCCCTCCTGGAGCCCTCTCCCTCCTTGAGCCCCTCCCCCTTTTGGAGCCCCCCCTCCTCCTGGAGCCCCCCCCCCTCCTGGAGCCCCCCCCCCTCCTGGAGCCCCCCCCCCTCCTGGAGCCCCCCCCTTCCTGGAGCCCCCTCTCTCCTGGAGCCCCCCCCTCCTGGAGCCCTCTCTCTCCTGGAGCCCCCCCTCCTGGAGCCCCCCCCTCCTGGAGCCCTCTCTCTCCTGGAGCCCCCCCCTCCTGGAGCCCTCTCTCTCCTGGAGCCCCCCCCTCCTGGAGCCCTCTCTCTCCTGGAGCCCCCCCGTCCCGGAGCCCCCCCCCCTCTCCTGGAGCCCTCCCCCCCTCCTGGAGCCCCCCCCCCCTCCTGGAGCCCCCCCCTTCCTGGAGCCCTCTCTCTCCTGGAGCCCCCCCCCCTCCTGGAGCCCCCCCCCCTCCCGGAGCCCCCCCCCCTGGAGCCCCCTCCCTCCTGCCTTGGCAGACCTCTCTACATCGGCATTTAGCTCGTGACCATATTGCCGCCACCGTACGCAGGAATAGAAAGTTTCAGTCCAACGATGCAACAACAACAACAACCCACGTGCACACGAGATGGTTGTTACATCGCTCCCTCTCCAGCTCGGGTGGACATCCTCTCCGGCATGCTACCCTCCTCCTGTGGCTACCAGCTCGACCATCTGCCATTGTCAAGCAGTGAATACGACTCATTACCATCGTCAAGCAGTGAATACGACTCAATACCATCGTCAAGCAGTGAATACGACTCAATACCATCGTCAAGCAGTGAATACGACTCAATACCATCGTCAAGCGGTGAATACGACTCAATGCCATTGTCAAGCGGTGAATACGACTCATTGCCATCGTCAAGCAGTGAATACGACTCAATACCATCGTCAAGCAGTGAATACGACTCATTGCCATCGTCAAGCGGTGAATACGACTCAATGCCATTGTCAAGCGGTGAATACGACTCAATACCATTGTCAAGCGGTGAATACGACTCAATACCACGTACAAAGTGCCATCTTCATTGACGCCATATAGCGTAGTAATTGAACCTGCGCCAGGGTATAACGATTGGCAACGAGTGCGGTCGTAGAGCACTTTGTGGCCACAGTTAAGTGGACAATACAATAAGGTAATAAAGGCCCTGTGTGACTATGGGAACCAAAATACGTTTTGCAAAGCGGGTCATGAGACTCTTGCAAATGCAACTGCAATAAAGGTCGTTGCATGTACCAGTGAATTACAGTCAACAATGTACAGAATCAGAATACTGTATTGTATTCTCATTTAATTGCGACGAGCGGTGGCGCTGTGGTTAGCACACTGCTCATTGACCCCCACCACCAATGTAAGTGGCTGGTCATTGCTATCTGTCTGAACCAGCCCCAGCCACCCCCACTTTGCCAACCTGTACTGACTAGCGTGCGATATGGGGAGGGCCTCATTCAGCAATGGCTTGACAATGAAGCTGTATCTTCTTGGTTCTGTCGGTAAAGTCACGTAGAAGAGAAATAATAAAATAATAATAAAACATAATAAAATAATTCTCACGACGTTTCGGCCACAACGCAAGCAGCCGTCCTCAGGTGAAGAGTTTCAGACGCTGTCTCCCCGACAGACCTGGTCTTCACCTGAGGATGGCTGCTTGCGTTGTGGCCGAAACATCGTGAGAATTATTTATTATGTCTTATTTTTATTATTTTATTATTTCTCTTCTACGTGACTTTACCGAAAGAACCAAGAAGATGAATCCCTGCAGTCACGAAAGCGTTAAATCGAAAAATGAAGCTGTACATATTACTACTGTTGCAGGCGGTGGAGCGGTGGCAAAGTGGTTGATAATGCACTGGACTCAGAGCCAGCGAGCCCATTTAAATTCCTGGTCGCAGCTAACATCAGTGGCTCGTTCAAGTTCATGTATTAGGTATAGCCCTGTGAGCCATTCGGCTCTTGAATCGGGTGCAACCGCAACAAACAAAAAACAAAAACATGAACAAGAAAACATCTTAAAGTGAATATGTGACTGAGTGCAAACAGAAAATCCAAGAAAAGACAGCAAAATATTGCAGTGATATATACGAGCCAATCCTGGACTCTGTTTACCAGTATGCATAGACCAGTGCGCATTGGCCAGTGTGGTGAAGTCTGATATAACAACCCCCACGGTGGACACGACGTAGGGAGGCATTCATCCAGCAGTGGATTGACAGAGGGCTGTGAGTTGTTGCTGGCTCAAGAATGGATTGCCACCATTATCTAAATGTTATAATATACTACAGCTCAATGGAAACCGTACAGATCTCCACAAATACATGTACAGAGCAGGTTCGGGAGTTTGGTCATGGAAAATATGAATCGGCTCCGTGAGATATGTTGTCTATTGGGGCATAGACACACAGGGGATTCACGATGCTATTTTAGCGTTGCCGGGAGGTCTAATGAAAGATTGACCTCAATCCGGCTTGAGCAGTAGGCAGAGCAGTAGGCAGATGAACAGACGAGGGGCTTGCGGGCGGCACTTTCTCTGCCGAGATGGTTCGCACGGAACCCTAGACTCCATCCCCACTGTAGCCACTCGGTAATTTCTGTGGGGATTTACCAAAGCGCGTCTTCTTCTTCTGTTAACGATTCTCTGACTCCATCATTGGTAAAGGTGAGTCACGGTCCGTCAGTGTTGAATGCAATTCTCTTTATGACTGAAATTGCAAATATTGGCAACGTAAGTACAATTTAATCTTCTTGGTTTTTTCGGTAAAGTCACGTAGAAGGGAAGTAATAAAATAATAAAAATAAAACTTAATAAAATACAATTTAATCGTCATCCATGAAGAAGAATCATCATCCACTGTGTTTCATCATTGATGATGATTAAATTGTACTTACATTGGCAACATTTTTAATTTTAGTCGGAACATTTTTATTTTTTAACAAAAGGAGACTCAAATTTCGATTTAAAGCTTTCGTGACTGCAGGGATTCATCTTGGTTCTTTCGGTAAAGTCACGTAGAAGGGAAGTAATAAAATAATAAAAATAAAACATAATAAAATACAATTTAATCGTCATCCATGAAGAAGAATCATCATCCACTGTGTTTCATCATTGATGATGATTAAATTGTACTTACATTGGCAACATTTAAAATTTTAGTCGGATCATTTTTATTTTTTAACAAAAGGAGACTCAAATTTCGATTTAAAGCTTTCGTGACTGCAGGGATTCATCTTCTTGGTTCTTTCGGTAAAGTCACGTAGAATGGAAATAATAAAATAATAAAAATAAAACAATAAAATAATTCTCACGACGTTTCGGCCACAATGCAAGCAGCCGTCCTCAGGTGGAGAACAGGTCTGTCTTCTCTTCCACCTGAGGACGGCTGCTTGCGTTGTGGTCGAAACGTCGTGAGAATTATTTTATTGTTTTATTTTTATTACTTTATTATTTCCATTCTACGTGACTTTACCGAAATAACCAAGAAGATGAAAAGGAGACTCATAAAGCACAATTGTTTTTCCACTGCTGGAAGAAGGCCTCCCCACTCGAACCCTCTCACCATTCCTCATGGTCATTATTGCGATGCCACAGTCCATCTCACTCCTGTGCACCAGTTGATGTTATCTCACGAGCTGATGTCATCTCTATGGTGGTCATGTTCTTGGACGTTTTTTGTTATCCTTTGGCTGCCAATCTGTGTGTATGCATATTGAACTTCTTTTTCGCACCGTACGTAGCCAACCGCGCTAATCGGAGGTCACCAGTTTCATCCATCTGCCAGGATTCCTTCTAGTGATGTGTGCTGCCCAAGCCGACTTACTGAAGTCTTGATGATATTGTTGGTTTTCGTGACAAGGTGGTTTTTCGGATCTGTTTTGTATTAAGAATTGCAAATAGTGTATCTACAGCCATCCACTGTAGTACCCATGTTACTGGTAGGAACCTCCTGGTTACACCAGCCCACAGGGGATTATTGTGTCCGTCCGTCGTGCATCAAAAATGGGAGGGGTGGGGCTGGGTGGAGAGGGGAGGGTGGGGAGGGGCTGGGTAGGAAGGGGCTGGATGGGGAGGGGAGGGTGGGGCTGGGTGGGGGGTGGGAGGGGTGAGGATGGGTGGGGAGGGGCTGGTCACCCCGTGGTGCCCTTATAAAACTCAACGTTTAACCTACTCACGCCGGCTTGTGCCCGCCCTCACAGTCGGGCATATTTGTGGAATACACCACACCGCCGTTGACCCTGGCCATTGACCGAGCAACCCAACGTTCCTACCAGCTCCCTCCGCAGGAGGAATGTGTTTAGTCCGGACATTCGAACAAAACCTAAAACTGGAACTAGATTTAAGAATGTTTGAACCAATTCAAACAGTGATTATTGCATATTAGTTAAAACGTAGCAAAATTCTCAAACCAAGACCTCCTCTGTAACCTAAATTGTCGCCTGCAATGTATCTTAGGTGGAAGATATTTATTTAGATTTTTTTTTACAAATATGCAAATTAGAATTGGTTCAAACAAGTTTCTAACAATTAGTTAATCATCAACCTAACCTTTCTAAAACCATTCAGAGCCAATTGAACCATAACCAGTTTAAGCGGTTTTAACTGAATCCAAACGCAGACTCTTATGGCTCACTGAGTCCATAAAACGTGTTCATAATCAAGGCCTGCTTCAGAGGTTAAGTTTATTGTTTGTTTGTGTTTGTGTCAAAATTAGCGTGCCCAGAGTAAACGTCTGCACACAAGGGAAGGATGCTGAAACTCCAGGCAGATTGGTCAAAAACCTGCTGGTTGTGCAGCTGCCACAGGCACCACCTCGTTACCTATCAGGTGGGTGTCTCGCATACATCATCATCGTCATCATCGTGACTCTTAATAGAACTGATGGTTTGGGACTTGTATTCCTGCGTGGTTCACCAACTCCACTCCAGTGTCATTTAATTAAGGGGGAGGCGGAGAATCAATCTACCGCATATTCACTGAAGCTATTTCCTGGATAAGTAATATTAAAAAAAAACTTTTTTTTAAACACGCTTTAATTTAATGTACCGTACTCGTAATGGCAGAACTCCACGACTCCATTAAGTGGCCCCAAAGCTTGCCATAACGTAAGGGACCGTTGTGATTTACAGCCAACGTTAGTTGAGCGTGGACAATTAGACCCAAGCCGAAACATAACATATGAAAATGAATGTTTAAAAATACTTTTTTTTGATAGAATATAGTATTGTCATCAGAATGACATAAGTATACCAAGTTTGCAGTCGATACCACATTGGGAAGTGGGTTAAAATTGAGTTACAAGATTTGAGAATACGACAACAACAACAACATAGTGAGTTAATAGAAAGCGTGTAAAAAGATTGTTTAAAAATATTTTATTTTTATGATAGAATATAGTATTGTCATCAATAAGGCATAAATATACCAAGTTTGCAGTCGATACCACATTGGGAAGTGGGTTAAAATTGAGTTACAAGATTTGAAGATACAACAACGACAGACAGTGAGTTAAATATAAAAGCGTGTAAAATAATGTTTAAACATTTTTTAGATTTTATTAATGATAGAATATAGTATTGTCATCAGTATGACATAAGTATACCAAGTTTGCAGTCGATACCACATTGGGAAGTGGGTTAAAATTGAGTTACAAGATTTGAGGATACGACAACACCAACAACAGACGGAGTGAGTTAAATAAAAGCGTGTAATAATAAATGACCAAACACAGAAACGGAAACGCAAGTTGCTCTTCATCCGTCCATACGCGACAAGAAAGGGGTGCATCGACTTCTGGCACCTGATCAAACGATGGCAATATTCAGCTTGTGAATGCTGGTGCCTAGGTGACAGTGTTTGTTCGGATACTTGCTTTTCTTATACTGGTAAGAACCCACTGGTTCCACCAGCCCACAGGGGATTATTGTGTCCTTGTGTCCATCCGTCGTGCAGGGAGGGGCTGGGTGGGGAGGGAGGGGCTGGGTGGGGAGGGGCTGGGTGGGGAGGGGCTGGGTGGGGAGGGTGGAGCTGGGTGGTGGTGGGACTGGGTGGGGAGGGGCTGGTCACCCCGTGGTGCCCTTATAAAACTCAACGTTTAACCTACTCACGCCGGCTTGTGCCCGCCCTCACAGTCGGCCATATTTGCAGAATACACCACGCCGCCGTTGACCCTGCAGGCCATTGACCGAGCAACCCAACGTTCCTACCAGCTCCCTCCGCAGGAATGTGTTTCTAGCGTTCCAAGTTACATGCAATGTTAAATTGGTCACTGGGCTTCGAAGAGTGAGAAGCTGATCGTATAACCAGTGTGCCCGTAAAAGGTGCGAATGAGCACGGTGAATATGAAACCCGCGTAAACCGCCCGTGGTATAGTTGAGTTAATTCCGCAGTGAAACAAACTGCAGCTGTGTGCTGTAATGTGAATCTTCATCACCATGGCTGCCACGATTCTCACTCACCGCGGTTCAATATAATTCGCCGCCGTGATCCGGCCAGGTGGCAGCTCAGTGGTCAAGCGAGCGGCTCGCAATGAGAAGGTCGATTATCCCACGGGGACTGATACAATTAGGACCATTTTTCTGTGGGAAGGCAACATTGGTGGATAAACTCACGCCATCGGAATGTGGAATTTCCAGGGCTGTAAACGAGAGGTGAGCACCACCTCAGTGGCTTGACATGATCCTCGCTCACAATTCTTCTTCTCGTACTTTACCATTGTGGTAGCTGTAGAACCTTTAATTACAAACAACATACAGTATATGAATCACATTTAATTTTTGCCCACACACATACACACAATGTTACCCTAATCATGAGAATTTGAATCGAGGTGACCTGGTCTCAGCCAATTACTGAACAAAAAAATACACCATCACATTCAATTAGTTTTTTTGAAATTGGCAAAATTCCAGCTCTGAGAATTAAAAGCATCTGCAATTTGAATGTCATTGATCAATCTGACAGTAGAGTGCGTGTATAAGTGTGGACTCAAGCTGTGCGGTGACATTTCTACGTGTGTCGCACACTCTGTTTAAATGTTATCTGGAAGTCATGCAGCGTCTCTGGAGCGCTGTGTGCGACGCTCTAAGCCAGGGGTGGGGAACGTCCGGCCCGCGGGCCGTATAAGGCCCACAAAATAATTTAGGCTGGCCCTGCCAAGGCAACCGCAGACGGGACTCGAAATTCAATAAATCTAGGAGCAAACCTGGAAAAGCAGTTACGAGTAGCAACATCATCAATACCAGCTAACATCGCACGCCTCGCCAAAGAGAAGCAGTTCCAGCCATCACATTAGGGGTGTGAGTTTATTAAACCTTTGACCAAATATAACAGGCTAATTTTGAAGTTGATCATTTTGTATGGCCCGCGAATGATGTTATAAATATCCAAATGTCCCTTGGCAGAAACAAGGTTCCCCACCCCTGCCCTAAGCCCAAGGCCTCCATTCACTCCGCAGGTTTCAATGGCGCCCGTCGCCTGCCGAGGCTGAGTGCCCCACAGGTGTCGATGGGGAAGCTGCAGAGCAAGCCCAGCGTCCGCCCCCCGCACAAGTACAGGTGAGCGCTCAGCGCCAGAGGTCGCAAACGGGTTTTGATTCCTTACCCGTACCCGGCCGCACCAGGGTCGCAAATAGGTACCCGTACCCTACCCGATACCTGGCTACCAGAGGTCGCAACCGGGTACCCGATACCCGTACCCTACCCGATACCCGGCTTCCTTGTACCCGTTTGCGACCCTGGTGCGGCCGGGTACGGGTAGGCCGTGAGTCACTGGTGAGTAACCGTTTGTCACTTATTTCCCAACGTCTTGTCTCTTCTCACAATTCAAGTTCCTAGAATCAACCCACCCGCGCCTGCAACATGGCTTCATCCCAGAGGTCGCAATCAGGTACCCGATACCCGTACCCTACCCCTACCCGGCCGGGTACGGGTACGGCCGGGTACGGGTACGGGTACCCGTTTGCGACCCTGGTGCGGCCGGGTACGGGTAAGGAATTAAAACCCGTTTTCGACCTCTGCCGGCTACCCATACCCGGCCAGGTATCGGGTAGGGTACGGGTACGGGTACCCGATTGTGACCTCTGGGATGAAGCCATGTTGCAGGCGCGGGTGGGTTTATTCTAGGAACTTGAATTGTGAGAAGAGACAAGACGTTGGGAAATGAGTGACAAACGGTTACTCACCAGTGACTCATGGCCTACCCGTACCCGGCCGCACTAGGGTCGTTAACGGGTACCCGTACCTGTACCCGGCCGGGTACGGGTAGCCGTGTATCGGGTAGGGTACGGGTATCGGGTACCCGTTTGCGAACTCTGCTCAGCGCCTGGGAAACTGGCCGCTGAGAAGCGTCGTGACCTGCAGTGTGGTGACGGAGCACAGGGTGGCTGAGACGAAACGCTCTGGATAGATCGAGTCCTCAACATGGTAGGTGGAATCAATGAGTGAAGTTCACGGGAAGGGTCACCGTGGCCGTAGCGGTGTGTGCGTGCGTGTGCGGTTGTCACCGTGCCGTGTGTGTGTGTGTGCAGGGTCGAGTCTCCGGCATGTGTGCTGGGCGAAGCGTCGGTGCGGCACTTTCCCCGCGTTCACCGCGACGCCGTCGCCTCTCTCGCGCTGCTCGGCCCTGGACTCAGCCTCTCGGGCAGCAAGGACTGCGTACGCCACTCACAAAGACAAAGATCCCCCGTGTAGCCTTAACAGACTGTTGGGGCAAGTGCTGTTAGCGAGCACGTATGAATGCCGGCACGGCACATGAGCGCCTTTGTCTCCCCAGTGCCGATGTTTACACACTGCACATTTGAGGCTGAGTCGACCTAGGGGAAGCCCAGGACGGGTTCAGACATGTGTCACTGGTTTTCACTGTGTGTGGGAATCGAACTCGGGTCGTCAGGTTCTCAGCGCAGCACGCTAACCGCTGTCCCACCACTCTCACAATGTGATTGTTGTTGTTGTTGTTGTGCTGTAGACCGTGGTGCTGTATGATTGTTGTTGTTGTTGTGCTGTAGACGGTGGTGCTCTTTGATTGGGAGAGGGGGGAGCTGTCCGCACGACTGCTCGGCCACGCCCGTGATGTCACCAAGGTGAGAGAACACGTGACCCCACATTGCTGCCCACCTGCTGGGTCTGACACCTACACCGACCTGTACCAGCGTCCGGTCGTGTCCTCTGCGCTGTCACGTGGTGTAGGTGGCGTGTGTGCCGGGCGGCACTCACGTGTTCAGCGCGTCGCGCGACCGCACCGCGTGCATGTGGCACCGTGCACACCCCGCCGACGGCCCCGTCGCCACCTTCTCCGGCCACGAGCTCGTGCTCACGGGACTCTCCCTCAACCACGGTGACACAGAGACATGCAGCGCACGGTGGGGTGGGTGGGCGGGGATAAGAGTGATACACACAGACAGGGAGACACACAGACATCGAAACACGGCACGTGTAGACATGGAAAACGGAGAAACAGCACGTGGGCACAGGAGGACGTGAAACGGGGAGACCAGGCATACGGCACGTGGCCCATTATTGTTTAGACAGTGGCCTGCAGAGCGTGTACCCTGAGACATGTTGCATCATTGCGAGTGCAGACGGCAGTGTCCTGTGCACGGGTTCCCGTGACAACGCGCTCTGCTTCTGGGACGTGGACACGGGCGTCTGCGTGCGGCGAGCGTCCCTGCCTCGGAACCTGGTGAGTCCTCCCAGCCGCCCACTCCACTTACACACGCTCCACTTCCACACGCACACACACGCACACACACGCGCCTCACCATCTCTCAACTCCTGCACGCACACACACGCACACACACGCGCCTCTCTCAATCCCCCCGCGTCACTCCAGGGCTAGTGTGAGACATACGCCGGAGGGGGCAGCACTGCCCTATTCTTTCTAGATTTGAAGTTTTCGTGACTGCAAGGATCATACTGAAAATAATCTTATTATGTTTTATTTTTATTATTTTACTATTTCCCTTCTACGTGACTTTACTGAAAGAACCAAGAAAATTAATCCCTGCAGTCACGAAAGCTTTAAATCGAAATTTAAGGATCATACTCTTTGGTTTTTTCGGTAAAGTCACGTAGGTAAAAAATAAAATGAATAAAAAATGAAAACAACTCAATTAAATCGCGACGTTTTCGGGCGCAACACAAGCGTCCGTCTTCAGCGGGGGACAACGCAGCGGAAGCACAACCGCTTAAGTGTGTCTTTTAGTTGTTTTCATTTTTAATTTATTTTATTTTTTACACCTACGTGACTTTGCCCTATTCTTCTTAAACCACACGTCGGCTGAGCCGGGCGGCAGCGTCATCGTCTGCAGTGTCCAGTGCTCTCACTTCTGCATCCAGTCTGCTGAGAGAGTGATCGTCCACCTCGTGCACAGCATGCGACTGTGGCCAGACTTAGGCCACAGATACAGGGCGTGCGAGAGGAGCCTGGGAACAGTGAGGTTGGGCGGCAGGGTGGCACAGTCGTAACACTCCTACCTCGCAATAAGAAGAGCCTGGGTTCGATTCCCGACTTGAGCACTTTTCTGTTTGGAGTTTGGAGTTTGGAGTTTGGAGTTCTACCCCTGTTATGCAATGGGTCTCCTCAAGATTCTCCCATTTCCTCCCATAGCTAAAATAAATACAGCATAACCGGCAATGGCCAACTATCCCAATGCTGGAAAATGTACCTGGAAATTTCTCAGTTGGGATTACAAACACAGCAGCAACATCGCCCCCCTTACTGCGAAAACTTGGCAGGACCCTCCTGAAAAAGAGAGTTGAGACTCAGTGAGGGTGCCCTGAGTGAACAAGCTTAGCCGAGGTGTTCATTCGTGACCGGACCGAGACCATCATCTCACGCCACTAACCGTGTGTGGCTGCCTGGATTCGAAGCCTAAGTTCTCGGGGATGGCGGTGGCTCAGTGCAAGGATGGACGCAGGCCCCCTGAGTCGCTGGCCCTCCGCTCTGTGACTCTGGGTGATGCGGTTGCTTGTGGTGATTGCGCAGGTGACGGACTTGTGCTGGGTGCCTGGCAGCGCTCTGGTGGCCCAGGCATCCGAGGATAAAACTGTGCGGTCAGAGGAGCACCACGACCACGACCACACCACCAACACTACCACTTTCACCACGCCACTGCCACATCAATCACACCGTCATCACGTAACATACAACACGACTACATCAACCATATCAATAATACAGCAATCATACCACCACCGTGTCAAACAACACCACAATAACCACACCAACACTACATCACTCACACCGCTGTCACATCAATTGCACTAATACGATATTAGTCATACCACCACGCACCAAAAAACACAACAGTCGCCCCCCACCACATCAAACAAACTACCAAATCACTCACAACAATACTACATTGTCGTGTTGCGGTGTTGTGTCACCTTGTGGTGTTGTAATGTTACGGTGTTTTTGTGCATTGTGTTTCATTGTGTCTGTGGTGCTGTACGGCGGTCATGTTGTAGTGTCGTGTTGTGGTGTTGTGTCACCTTGTGGTGTTGTGTTGTAATGTTACGGTGTTGTTGTGCATTGTGTATGTGGTGCTGTACGGCGGTCATGTTGTAGTGTCGTGTTGTGGTGTTGTGTTGTAATGTTACGGTGTTGTTGTGCATTGTGTCTGTGGTGCTGTACGGCGGTCATGTTGTAGTGTCGTGTTGTGGTGAGGCGTTTCATTGCGGCGTTGGTGCTGTGCGGTGCTGCCATAGGCTGTGGGACAGCCGCACGGCGCAGGTGTCGGTGCTGTTTCCCCCCAAGTGCCACATCCAGACGAGCTGTGCGGTGTCCCCCAGCGCCACCCACCTCCTCAGCACCAGCGCCGGGGTCAACGCAGAGGGCTGCGAGGCCACGGTACGGTGGGGTTGCCACCTAGAGCCCCTATTCCAATCCACCTCGGAGTTTCAGCACTGTGCAGCATACTGCAATTAACGTCGACTCGGTGCCAACAGGTCTCGGTACAAATTAGTTCCTGCCATCCGAACACAGACGCTAATTCCCGGAGTGTCTTCGTCAAACCCAGAGAGGTGGTGACCCTACGATTCAGTGTAGAACCATCGCGAATAATTACAATTGTGACAACCCACCATCGCCACTATAATCTCTTCCTACCACTCACGACCACCGCTGCAACCACCATAAGCCCGCACTACCACCACCATAACCACCCACATCCACTACTGTAACTCCCGACTATAACACACTACCACTGCAAAAATCAACAACCACCCACGACCACAACAGCTACCACAACCCCACCATCATTCCCCACTGCCACCACATCCACAAGCCTACACCACACACCGCTACTTGCACAACTCCGCACTACCCAACATCACCACCACCCATTATTACCATTTATCACCACCAACATCTTTGCTGAAAACGTCATCAGCAGTAAATTTCGATTTAAAGCTTTCGTGACTGCAGGGATTCATCTTCTTGGTTCTTTCGGTAAAGTCACGTAGAAGGGAAATAATAAAATAATAAAAATAAAACATAATAAAATAATTTTCACGACGTTTCGGTCACAACGCAAGCAGCCGTCCTCAGGTGAAGAACAGGTCTGTCATTCAGACACTGTCTTTCCGACAGACCTGTTCTTCACCTGAGGACGGCTGCTTGCGTTGTGACCGAAACGTCGTGAGAATTATTTTATTATGTTTTATTATTATTATTTTATTATTTTCCTTCGATGTGACTTTACCGAAAGAACCAAGAAGAGTCATCAGCAGTATCGATACAGCCGTTTGACAATCCAGGGCTAGACGAAAGCCTCCCCACTGCCTGTTGGTGTTGGTGGGGGTCTTGATTCTGCTGGCCGGTGCGGGTTGGTAAAGGGGGAGATGGTTCAGGACAGGCAACCCGTCGTTGTTGTTACCTGCGGTCAGGAATTCAGATCGCAAACTTCAGATGCAAAAAAAACTATATCGTAAATATGAAATGCCTTGATAATTGGTTTTTTACCCTTTTACCCGGCAACAAAACTGACACCTTTTTTACGAGGAGTCATGTTTGCATAGACCACAATACCTGCAGTCATAATGCAAACAAAAAACACAACTCTGATAATGTATGCACTGTCAGAGTTATGTTTTTTGTTTGCATTATGACTGCAGGTATTGTGGTCTATGCAAACATGACTCCTCGTTAAAAAGGTGTCAATTTTGTTGCCAGATAAAAGGGTAAAAATCCAATTATCATATTTTTTACTGGCAAATGAGGTACCAATGGTGATGAAATGCCTTGCCATGCCCTGTCACGTACTGCCCGGCCCTGTGGCCGTGTGGCCTGCGCCAGCAGCTATGGGACGGGCGGCAACCGTGCGGTGCTGTGCGGGAGTTCCACGGACACAGCCAGAGCAGCAGCAGCTGCTGCTTCCTGCCCGGGGGCCTTTTGGGAACGGCCTCGCACGACGGCACCGCGCGCGTCTGGGAGCTGCACGCCACAGGCACGACGAGCCCACGTGCACACGAGCACGTGCACGCGAGCACGTGCACGCGAGCACGTGCACACGAGCACGTACATGCAGGCGCACGTGCACACGAGCACGTGCTCACGTGCACGCGAGCACGTGCACGTGCTCACGTGCACACGAGCACGTACATGCAGGAGCACGTGCACACGAGCACGTGCTCACGTGCACACGAGCACGTACATGCAGGAGCACGTGCACACGAGCACGTGCTCACGTGCACACGAGCACTTACATGCAGGAGCACGTGCACACGAGCACGTGCTCACGTGCACACGAGCACTTACATGCAGGAGCACGTGCACACGAGCACGTGCTCACGTGCACACGAGCACGTACATGCAGGAGCACGTGCACACGAGCACGTGCTCACGTGCACACGAGCACGTACATGCAGGAGCACGTGCACACGAGCACGTGCACATGAGCACGTGCACATGAGCACGTGCACATGAGCACGTGCACACGAGCACGTACATGCAGGCGCACGACAATGTACACATGGGCATGTCCGTGTTGCATACGGCGTGTGTGGCTTTCCTGCTGATGTGTTGTACAGACTGTGTGCGTAGCATTGAAGTGTAATTTCATGCTGTCGGGATTTGTGCACACTGTATGTAGCGATGCTGTGTCGTGACGCTGTGTCTGTGTGCAGGGTGTGTGTGTGACGCTGTGTCTGTGTGCAGGGTCTGTGTGTGACGCTGTGTCTGTGTGCAGGGTGTGTGTGTGACGCTGTGTGTGTGTGCAGGGTGTAGTGATGCTGTGTCTGTGTGGAGAATGTGTGTCGTGACGCTGTGTCTGTGTGTAGGGTGTGTGTGTGACGCCGTGTCTGTGTGCAGGGCGCGTGACGCCGTGTCTGTGTGCAGGGTGTGTGCGTGACGACGCTGTGTGTCTGTGTGCAGAGTGTGTGTGCGTAGCGATCCTGGGTGGCCCACTCACAGCGATGTGCTCGGGTGGCGATGGGCGCATCCTCTGTGGCGGATTCCACTCGGGCGTGCACGTCTTGGAGCTCATCAGCAGTCACGGCCCCACTGCCCTGCGCACGCTGGCGCGCTTCTGAAAGAGCAACCTGCCCTGCCGCACAGCGTTCGTGCCGTTGCAGACTTATCAGGTCACACACATTCAGCGAGTGTTTCTAGTGTCAGAGGTCAGAGGACTTAACTGGCACTGGCGAGACCCTGGGTTTGAATACAGACGGTCGCCCGCCATGAAACTGAGTTCGCAAAATGTAGCGAGAGCCGATGGTCTCTGCCCGAACAGCAATGGTTTCACACGTAAAAAAACATCGCGCGAAATTTGATTCTGAAACTTAATTTGGTTAATTTCCAGCTGTGGGAATTAGCGATATTCTCGATTTGAAGCTTTCATGACTGCAAGGATTCATACTCTTAGATTTTTTTCGGTAAAGTCACGTAGGTAAAAGATTAAATAAGACAAAATGAATGAAAACAACTAAATTAAATCACGCTGCAGCGGTTTTGCTGAGGCGGTCATACCTGATGACGGATGTTTGTGTTGCATTCGAAACGTCGTGATTTAATTGAGTTGTTTTCATTGATTTTGCTTTATTTTATCTTTTACCTCCGTGACTTTACCGAAAAAAAACAAAGAGAATGAACGATATAGGTTGATTGTCGTGTGATGAACATTACGGGCAGAGGCAGAATAGGCGAGAAAGCGATACTCCTTATTGTGTTGACGAAAGGTCTGTGAAGTGGTCTCAGATGTCGGATTGCACTGCACTGAGAGATATCTGAATGTATACATCATCTCAGAAGAATGGAGGCTGGGTCTCCACCAATTGTCTGTAGGGTTCAACAATGCAGTTATTTTTGTAACCTATTTTTGTTTAACATGAGCTCTAAAAGCATTTATCCCCCATTCCCCTAATAATAGTCAACGTGCAGGGTTAAAATGGCAGTAATGTCTAAGGTCTGAAGATATTTGTAAATTTGTACTATTTATTTCAGACCAACACGGTCTTTGGATCACATCAAAGATTTATTTTTACACCCTGGGGAAGGATTGATGATTAAACCCAGGACAGAGTGGTTTTTAGAACCAGGATGGAGTCTAGTTGCAGGCGCAGGAGAGGGTCTGGTTTTGGGTTCTATAACTAAACTATTTTGTATTTTACCAGGTCAGGCCCTCTGAGCGATGTAGCTCTTTTTCAGAAGCGACCTGGCCACAAATGATAGCTCAACGAAGTGGCTTATCACGTGGAAATGTACAGCAGTCAAATACTCTTAAACGCGTGCTTCTAAACGTGGAGGCAAAGACCGGAGTACCCGGATAAAAATCCACGCGACCACGGAGAGAGAGACACGCAGACTCCAAATGTACAGCAGCAGGCGTCAGGGTCGGGATCGAACCCACGACCTCCTGTGCACCAGGCGAGGTAGTTAACATCTCCTAGCCGCTGTGGCGCCCCCACAGTGACTCGGAGATGTTCAGCTCTCCTTTGAGTGGAGCCCCGTGACCACGAGTCGTGTGGACGCGTCCCCAGCCCCGCCACACTCTGCACACCTTCGTGGTTGCCGCGCTCACTTAAATATTTAAGCGTCACCTTTAACGAACGAGATGGAAACTCAGGTCCGCAGTAACATTTCAGGTTTTTTAAAGACGCAAACTCCGAGTCTCTAATAATTTCATAGATTTTTTACCTATTGCATGAAACTTGAAGTGACCGTTGTTGCGTTCTGAAGGATGCGACTAAAGCTGCCTGGAGCTTTCTATCCCGAGCAAATATTCACCTGCAAAGCACTGGATGGGAAGCCCTGCAGCTCTGCCGACTGAAAAGGCACTGATTATAATGTTGGTAACGTTATTGGTAACCACTGATTATAATGTTTGTAACGTTATTGGTAACCACTGATTACAATGTGTGTAACGTTATTGGTAACCACTGATTATAATGTTTGTAACGTTATTGGTAACCACTGCAAGCAGTGGTCGCGGAAGACATATCTGAGCCTAGTCAAATGCCCTCCCTGAAGTTTTCAATCCAGGGCAAAGCCTGCCAATCCATGCAAAAGCTGCCCCCTTTACAAGAGTTCCCAGACAATCCATCGTCCGGTCACCCATTAAATGATCAATACACTCCACATGTATTGATCACCTCGTAATTGACAGGCTGTTCTCATTATTATTATTATTTTCTCTACCACTGCTAACAACAGCGGTGAATGATATCTGAACAGGTCCTGGGCTCCGCCTCTGTTCCCCATGAAATCATATCTTAAAACTAAGCATCAGCCACAACGTGCACACTTTAAACTACCTCTCAATGCATTCTCTAAGCCCTGTTGGTACAGGTCCGCTATGCAAGACGCCAGCAATAAGACACCGAGCGCTCATCTTCTCCTGCAGTGGAGGAGGAGGGTGCAGCACGTGGTGCACCTTCACAACACACGAGCCAGCCAGCAGGGCCTTCCGCTGGCTCCGCTTGGGGCTCACAAATCACGCCGTCAACAATGTTCTCTGCGCATGGCATCGAAGTAGACCTGAGACGAAATGGCCGATTCACCCGGGACAACGGCCGATATCATCAGTTCTAGATTTGAAGCTTTCGTGACTGCAAGGATTCATACTCTTAGGTTCTTTCGGTAAAGTCACGTAGGTAAAAAATACAATTAAAAGTTAATAAAGTAATAATGGAAATAAAATAAAATAATAAATCACGACGTTTCGGAGGCAACACAAGTCTCCGTCATCAGGTGGGACTGTTACAGTTAAATGTATTGATACACCTGATGACGGAGACTTGTGTTGCATCCGAAACGTCGTGATTTATTTTATTTTATTTCCATTATTACTTTTATTAACTTTTAATTTTATTTTTTACCTACGTGACTTTACCGAAAAAACCTAAGAGTACGATATCATCAGGTCAAGGAGGGTTATTGACCACACCTCACCACGCTGCGTGTTTGCGTACGTGCGTACGTACGTTAAAACTTCTTTTAGCCAACCGTGCTAATATCTACATGGTAAATAAATGGTGAAGGTTGCCGGGAGCTTAGAGGTACTGTAGAAGAGTAGATTCCGCTGCCTTATGACAACCTGGTTGACGCATCGTGGCGTGCACCCATCCAAGCACTGTCCAGGCTTAGACCTGCTTAGCTTTCGAGATATTAATGAGATTGGCCACGTTTCGAGAGATTTGGACACAGGGACGTGTCATCTTTTACGTACCCCGATCGTTTAGCGCGACTCCCTCGTGTGAACACAGAATTACGTCGTGCGGGAACAGACCTACACTCTTTAGATTAAAAGCTTTCGTGACTGCAGGGATTCATCTTCTTGGTTATTTCGGTAAAGTCACGTAGAAGGAAAATAATAAAATAATAAAAATAAAACATAATAAAATAATTTCGATTTAAAGCTTTCGTGACTGCAGGGATTCATCTTTTTGGTTCTTTCGGTAAAGTCACGTAGGAGGAAAAGAATAAAATAATAAAAATAAAACATAACGACGTTTCGGCCACAACGCAAGCAGCCTTCTCGACAGACCTGTTCTCCACCTGAAGACGGCTGCTTGCGTTGTGGCCGAAACGTCGTGAGAATTATTTTATCATGTTTTATTATTATTTTATTATTTTCCTTCTACGTGACTTTACCGAAAGAACCAAGAAGAAGACCTACACTCGACATGCATCTTAGAGAAACGTGTGGAGTGCGCAGACGATTGCGTGTGTGTGCAGTGTACAAGGAGACGTATTTTGGAGATTGTTGCGGTTCAGATTACGTGGAAATGCACTTGGAACGTAGCATAACCCGAAGATGCAGTTAAATGTGCAACAGCACATTTCTATTCACAGCCTCCATGAAAGTGCTTGCACGTGAACACGTCTAAGATGCGAATGCTGTCACTGCAACGGGCATTGACCGGCACCTGTGACGTCACGCGCGTTCCCCTTGTTGCACTCTAGATTGCGTTTTATGATGCAAGATTCTGAATGGTCTATTTAGTTAGCTATCTATTTACGAATTAAGCGTGTAGTTTGCAAACAAATATCCGGGACAAAACTGTCCACTGCGTTTAACTGTGTCTCAGCATTTCAATGACCGTGTGTGAACATTTGCATTGTGCCTGTTGAGGATGTTACATATCACGCAAAAACACAGTACACGGTACTAAATCGTTCTCACGGTCGATCCATTCACACCGAACTACCTTCCAATGTAAGCAGCAACTCCCGCCTCTCGCAAGCCTGGCGAACAGCTACCTGAGCAAAATCCTAGCAGCTTTAAACGGCGTACAGCCGGAACATTCGGCACGCGTTCCGGAAAACATACCTCGTCAAGTAAACGGTGTAGAGCCGAAACACGCGTTAGATATAACGCGATAAAACGCGCGATAGATAGAACACGGCTTACATAGAACGCACAATAGTTAGAACACACGTTAGATAGAACATGGGTTAGATAGAACGCACAATAGTTAGAACACATGTTAGATAGAACACGTGTTAGATAGAACACGCGTTAGATAGAACACGCGTTAGATAGAACACGCGTTAGATAGAAAGCACGATAGAACACGCGTTAGATAGAAAGCACGATAGAACACGCGTTAGAACACGCGTTCGGCCAGGTTTTCATGTCCAGTAAAATCTTGTCACGGTGGCCCATTGGGAAGGGCATCCTCCAGCTGTCCTCGAACAATACGCGTTGTTCCTTTTGAGTTGTTGCACGAAAATCACAGCCCGCTGGGCATGTTATCAACTGTTCATGTTGAAATTTGATCAGGTGTGTATGCTGTGCTCAGTACGTCGGTGTCTAGGTAGGAATGTTGGTAAATCAATTGTCTTTCCGTAAATGATGAGAAACTCATCAGACTGTGTGTGCAGGCTGCAAAACAAATAAGACTAACAATACGCACGAAAGATGAGTAAACAACAACAGCAGGTTCGATTGTAACCAAAGGATCGGTCCTTCCATGATGCCTCGCATGGCACATCACCATTCTGCACGTCTAATGCACACACACACACACAGGGTCACGAGTTGTCTCTGAACAAGGATTGGTGCATTGCCTGGAGACCCGCTCAGTCAGTCGACTGAATGGAGGACTCCATCACAGATTGCTCGCTTGAGTAGAGACCTCATCAGAGGTCGCTCTGTCGCTCTCTTGAAGCGAGATCGTATCAGAGAGCGGCCTTCAAGGAGCGGTGGGCACTGGAGGAGGCCGTGTGCTCGGTGGCACAAGACGGAGTGCTCTGGATATGAGCTACCCGTCGGAGGCCGTAGGACTGCGAGCATGGCTGGGTGCAGATGCAGCACTTGTCGTAAAAAATATTAAATAAAAAAAATATTACAAATATTACATGGAAAACATAGCGGGGACATGGAGTATGGAGAGAGGGGGTAGAGAGAGAGGGGGGGGGGTAGAGAGAGAGGGGGGGGGGGTAGAGAGGGAGGGGGGTAGAGAGAGAGGGGGGGGGTAGAGAGAGAGGGGGAGGGTAGAGAGAGGGGGGTAGAGAGAGAGGGGGGTGGTAGAGAGGGGGGGGGGTAGAGAGAGGGGTAAGGAGAGCAGAGCGTGAAATATTTTGGGAAATATTTCATTAAAAAAGGGGGGGGGGGGGTTTACATAAAGCAAAGCTTTAAAAAAGAACCAGAAATGAACGAAGCAAAGTGCCGACTACACCGAGCATCTTCTTGTTTCCTCTGATCGTAAAAAGAGATAGGTTTGTCAGTCCATTGTCGAGAGACACAGACCAGTAATATCCTGATGGCCACACACAAAACAATCGCAACCTGCATTTTTTTGAAATAGTGCCAAACACCGGACGTTAGAAATAAATATAGACTCGTGAAATTGACGGGTATGTAAGTGATTGTTTACACCTGGACCTTATCACTGGTCATTTTAATATCAAAATCACTGTTTTAACCAAAATTATTTAAAACATTTCACAGAGAGAGAGAGTATGCTTCGTAATGTGCTGTGTGCTGTTTTGCAAATGTCTAATCTCTGAAGCAATCAACTTTGTCTTAGAATAAATTTCGTTTGGTTTCATCTTTTGTCTCGTGAGTGTGGGCGCTCCGAGCGAAGTTCGACGTCACGCAAACGCACGAGCAGACACGGCAGCGTCGCACTGGCCGCTGCGTTTGTCCGAGACGCTTCAAGAGCTCGGTGCCGATGTCAGCTGCTGCTGCTGCTGCTGGTGGTCACGACGAGAGGGCTTCAGCAGAGAGAGACACAGAGAGAGAGTTCATGTCCGTGTCGCTGTTCCTCCTCCTCCTCCTCTGTTGAAGGAGCGGCCAGACTGCAGTGTGTCGCCTTTGGCAGCGTCCTTCACTCATTTGCAGAGGAGGGGGGGGGGGGTGGGACACTTTCGCTGATGAGACATCATCAGTGTGAGGGTCCACCACACCTTCTTCTTGGTTCTTTCGGTAAAGTCACGTAGAAGGGAAATAATAAAATAATAAAAATAAAATATAAAATACAATTCTCACGACGTTTCGGCCACAACGCAAGCAGCCGTCCTCAGGTGAAGAACAGGTCTGTCGGAAAGACTGTCGGAAAGACAGACCTGTTCTTCACCCTGAGGACGGCTGCTTGCGTTGTGGCCGAAACGTCGTGAGAATTGTATTTAATTATGTTGTATTTTTATTATTTTATTATTTCCCTTCTACGTGACTTTACCGAAAGAACCAAGAAGATGAATCCCTGCAGTCACGAAAGCTTTACATCGAAATTATTATTGGTTCTTTTGGTAAAGTCACGTAGAAGGGAATTAATAAAATAATAAAAAATAAAACATAATAAAATACAATTCTCACGACGTTTCGGCCACAACGCAAGCAGCCGTCATCAGGGTGAAGAACAGGTCTGTCGGAAAGACAGCGTCTGAATGAGCACCACCACCAAGCTTATTTTATTATTTCCCTTCTACGTGACTTTACCGAAAGAACCAAGAAGATGAATCCCTGCAGTCACGAAAGAAGCTTCAAATCGAAAGGTCCCACCACACGTTTGAAACCATTGGGCGTCTGACAGCAGCACGATGACGATGATGATGGGGGCTGTCGTCACTCTGTGTGCATTGTCTGGGGGGGGGGGGGTCACACAAAAGGCCGCCAGGGGTCGCGAGCGGCTCGCGTGACCTTGCGACGAAGACCTCTGACCTCTGGCAGCAAGCACGGATCATGTCTGGGACGTGACTTCATGGACTCGTGTTTCCGTTGTGATCACTTCTGTTGTCGTTGTTGTTGTTTGTGCCTTTAGCCTTGGTGACAATTCTCTATCGAGTTTTAAATCCTTTATATTAAGTTCACTTGCTTGCGTGCTTGCTTGCTTACGACCGTGCAAATCTTTCGGTCGTTTTTTAACCCACTTCCCGTGATCCAATCGAGCTGACATTTTCCACACAGACTCCTTGTGCGTGACAATTAATTTTCGTGAAATTTTTGCTCCAAAATTTTACACTGTTTAGGGAATTTAAAAAAAATATTGAATTACCAATTGTTTAATTCTGGCAGACAATCATCTGACCCATAGGTGGCAGCCATCTCAAGCCAGAGGACGAGAGGACTCTCGCCGCCACGCATATAAAGGATTTAGAGTGAAAAACTTTGTTTTTACGGGTTAATTTTTTATTCTCTCGGACCGGTTTAATTTGCACCTCCGATTGGCACGGTTGGGGCTACGTACGGTGCGAAAGAAGTTCAACATACAGTGCATACGTACGTATGTAGGCTTTTACCTTCATGTATATTTAATGTACGGCTTTATGGAATGCAATTTGCATGAATGACGCTATACAAAAAACATCATTATTATTATTATTATGACGAGTACAATCTCAGCTGGCTGGACTAATAGGGGTACTGATCACCAATCCGGCGAGCTGGAAGTCCGACTCGCTGCTATCACGGTGACAATCGCGGTCGTATCGACAACAACCCGATACACCACACAACAAAAACTCAACACACCCCAGTTCACCATTGGAACCTCATTTTCCGGTAAAAAAATATGATAATTGTTTTTTTACCCTTCTATCTGGCAACAAAACTGACACCTTTTTTTTTTACAAGGAGTCATGTTTGCATAGACCACAATACCTGCAGTCATAATGCAAACCAAAAACATAACTCTGATAATGTATGCACTGTCCTTGAAGTTGATTGGTCCACACTCGAGACAGCTTTTCTTAGAGCCTAGACTCACATGGGTTGGACCAGATGACGCCAAAAGGCGCACAACTCAAAGACAATGCACCATCAGAGTTTGAGAGCTCGGGGTAAGCATTTACACCATTGGAACCTCATTTGCCAGTAGCAAAATATGATAATTGTTTTTTTACCCTTCGATCTGGCAACAAAACTGACACCTTTTGTTGCCAGATAGAAGGGTAAAAAACAATTATCACGCTCCAGTTCGCTCTTAGGCAACTTACTCAGGTGCCCATTTAAAAATGTTCATCGGGGGGGGGAGGGGAAGAAAAAAAATTAGAATGCAATAATTACCATCAGGAAGGGGCTAGATCGTCGCTTACTGACGGCGCTCAGGTCAATAGGACCAGGGTTGAAGTGACTTGGTAGCAATAAAATAATAAAAATAAAACATAATAAAATAATTCTCACGACGTTTCGGCCACAACGCAAGCAGCCATCCTCAGGTGACATTCTCACGACGTTTCGGCCACAACGCAAGCAGCCGGTGAAGAATGTCACCTGAGGATGGCTGCTTGCGTTGTGGCCGAAACGTCGTGAGAATTATTTTATTATGTTTTATTATTTTGTTACTTCCCTTCTACGTGACTTTACCGAAAGAACCAAGAAGATGAATCCCTGCAGTCACGAAAGCTTTAAATCGAAATTATTTTATTATGTTTTACTTTTATTATCTTGTTACTTCCCTTCTACGTGACTTTACCGAAAGAACCAAGAAGATGAATCCCTGCAGTCACGAAAGAAGCTTTAAATCGAAATTTGACTTGGTAGCTTTGGCCGAGCTGTAGAACCCACGGGACACACTCCCAGTCTCTCTCGGAGTCACCAGACGATTGGTCTCGCTCACAAACCGCAGAGACAGCGGTCACCGCCATCATCATGTGCTGCTTCTGATAATAATATGCACTATCATTATCAGAGTTGCTTCTTTTTGTTTGCTTTTTTGACTACTTGTGTTGTGGTTATTGCAAACATGATGCCTTGAATAAAGGTGTCAGTTTTGTACCAGTTTAAAAGGGTAAAAACCTACTACTATATTTTGCCACTGGTAAAAGAGATCTCATAGAGTAGATTTTAAAACTCATTTCTGTAGAACCGCTTTGTGTGTTCCGTTTGGTGTCCTTCTCCTGCTCCTCCGATAAGCTCGGTGGGCTACGTACGGTGCGAAAGAAGTCCAACGTGCATCCGGACGTACAAACCGAAAAGGTTGACAAACCAACCACCGATTGGGTTGTACGTCACCAAGCGTTGCAGTGAGCATCGGACAAACGCGACTCACATCTCAAGACACTTTCGCTTTAATACAAATGTGAGGCCCGTACATTAAAAAGGTAAACAATCCGAGGACCTTAACAGGACAATTAAAACCACTTTTTTCTTTACGTTGAAACGTACAAAAAATCCACAACAGTAGGGTGTGCGACAATGCATAGATGCACGTGAGCGAATCGACTAATGTTGTTATTTATGTGTTGTCCTAAATGGGGGTTTAAAATGATCCCTGCGGACAATGTAGACAAAAAATTTCGAAGTTTAAAAAAAATCAAATTGTAACTCCCGACAATTGCTAAGAGGGGTTGGAGTAATCGTCACACTCGACCGCATTCGTCTACGCAACGCTCATCACGCATCACGCAAGGAAGCGTCGCACGCACTTACAATCGCCACGTGCAACGAATCGTCACAGTTGTAGACATCTTTCACCATCCCTGACGTAGCACGAAGTTATGTCCTGCCAATACAGCAACCCCCCCCCCCCGATATAACGCAGAATATAACACCTGTACGATGATGGAAAAGCATTCGTGTGTCTCCGTGTCTGTGTGTGCCTCTGTGCGACTCCGTGTCTGTGTGTGCCTCTGTGTGCCTCTGTGTGACTCCGTGTCTGTGTGTGCCTCTGTCTTTGCGTGTGTGCCTGTGTCCTTGTGTGTGTGCCTGTGTCTTTGTGTGCGTGCCTCTGTGTGTCTCCGTGTCTGTGTGTGCCTCTGTGTGACTTCGTGTCTGTGTGTGCCTATGTCTGTCTGTGCCTCTGTGTGCCTCTGTGTCTCCGTGTGTGCCCGTGTGTGCCTCTGTGTCTCCGTGTGTGCCCGTGTGTGCCTCTGTGTGTCTCCGTGTCTGTGTGTGCCTCTGTGTGTCTCCGTGTCTGTGTGTGCCTCTGTGTGACTCCGTGTCTGTGTGTGCCTGTGTCTTTGTGTGTGTGCCTCTGTGTCTTTGTGTGCGTGCCTCTGTGTGTCTACGTGTCTGTGTGTGCTTGTGTCTGTCTGTGCCTCTGTGTGCCTCTGTGTCTCCGTGTGCCCGTGTGTGCCTCTGTGTGTCTCCGTGTCTGTGTGTGCCTGTGTCTGTCTGTGCCTCTGTGTGTCTCCGTGTCTGTGTGTGCCTGTGTCTGTCTGTGCCTCTGTGTGTCTCCGTGTCTGTGTATGCCTGTGCGTGCCTTTGTGTGTTTCCGTGTCTGTGTGTGCCTGTGTCTGTCTGTGTGTGCCCGTGTCTGTTTGTGCGTGCCTCTGTGTGTCTCCGTGTCTGTGTGTGCCTGTGTCTGTCTGTCTGTGCTTCTGTGTGCCTCTGTATGTCTCCGTGTCTGTGTCTGTCCGTGCGTGCCTCTGTGTGTCTCCGTGTCTCTGCGGGTGATTCAACGCGCATTGTTTGCGATTCCGGATCACGATTCTATTCGAGAATCGGGTTGGTCTCATTTGTCTCGCGGATCGCCCGTGTTGATGACCACCCCTCCCGTGCCGCGTCTCCTTTGTTCGCTCGCTCCATGAGCGCGCGTCTTCTTTTTGCGCGTGTTCACAAATCGCCAATAATTAATTCGACGCCTGTACCCCGTGAGCAGAGGGATCGATTTTAAACGATTAGTTGAGTTCAATCTGAACTTATTTCGTACCGTACGTGGCCAACCGCGACAAACGAAACACAAAAAGCAGGGTGCTGAAGAAATCAGTTTAAATCGAGATGACGTGAAAGTACACAATAGCTCCAGTGGCGGCTTCCGAATATCGGAAGAGCGTTCCAGACGGCCACAGAAGCGCATCCCGACAGCGCGCGATGGTTTTGGGTGGCGTCTCTTATGGGCACGCCGACACAATTTCTGCCGAGTGCTTTTTCTACCCTCTCGAGGTTAGATTCGTCAAGGTGACACGAGTGGTGCCAACCCACCACACAAGCTCAACTCTAACAAAGCGTCGATGATCCTTTCTTACGTGCAGGGTACGCATATCTGCATCGTGCGTGCGAGGGTCAATTCGTTTTGATCTGCATATCGGGGGCGCCTTAAATCTCGTGTCTCGCCACCTCAACACATTTGAAAGGGAGCACCACCCCCCCCCCCCCCCCAGTTGGGCAGCCGTCTCCTGTTGCTGCACGAGGTGACTCAGCGTCAGAGGTCGCAAACGGGTTTTGATTCCTTACCCGTACCCGGCCGCACCAGGGTCGCAAACGGGTACCCGTACCCGGCCGTACCCGTACCCGGCCGTACCCATACCCTACGGGTATCGGGTACCCGATTGCGACTTCTGGGATGAAGCCATGTTGCAGGCGCGGGTGGGTTGATTCTAGGAACTTGAATTGTGAGAAGAGACAAGACGTTGGGAAATGAGTGACAAACGGTGACTCACCAGTGACTCACGGCCTACCCGTACCCGGCCGCACCAGGGTCGCAAACGGGTACCCGGCCGGGTACCCGTACCCGGCCGGGTACGGGTAGCCGGGTATCGGGTAGGGTACGGATATCGGGTATCGGGTTGCGACCTCTGCTTAGCGTCTGGCCTCCACGCTGCCACAGGAGTCTGCCTGCCGGGGGGCGATTATTGCAGCCGAGTAATCGACAGCTCGAGGAGTTATTTACACGTCGTCCTTCGGGACGCGTCTTCCCGTTGCGGCCACCCACTCGGCGCTACGTTCAGCGCAATCGAAACGTGACAACTTCCACGCGAGGAGGTCGAGCAGCGCGCGAACACGGCCGAGTTTCGAGCAGCAGTTTTTGTTTTGTCTTTCAAACAAGCAGAGCTGGCAGAGGTCTCGTCGCCAGTGTGCGCACTGCGATAAATAAATGCGGCTTCGTTCGCCCGAGGATCGTCAAGTCGCGAGATTATTGCTCTGTGCCATCATCTTCCAACCGCCCAACACGACTGCCTGATATAAATACTCACCATTGGAACCTCGTTTGCCAGTAAAAATATGATAATTGGTTCTTTACCCTTCTATCTGGCAACAAAACTGACACCTTTTTAAATCCTTTATATTAAGTTCGCGTGCTTGCTTGCTTGCTTAGGACCGTGCAAATTTTTCGGTCGTTTTTTAACCCACTTCCCGTGATCCAATAGAGCTGACATTTTCCACACAGACTCGTTGTGCCAGACAATTATTGTTCGTGAAAACAAATTCCCAAAATTTTACACTTTTTAGGGAAAAAAAATGTATTTTACATATATTCAAATAGAACGCATTTATGGCTTTGGCTGAACGTCAGAGTGTAAGAGCCCAGAGCGTAACCCCTCCACAGGCCGTGGTGGAGTAGCACAGTTGGTAGCGCCCTCGCTTCCCATGCCAAAGGTCGCGGGATCGATCCCCGCGTCCTCCACAGGCGAATATATCTAAATCCTTTATATTAAGTTCGCTTGCTTGCTTGCGTGCTTGCTTGCTTACGACCGTGCAAACCTTTCGGTCGTTTTTTAACCCACTTCCCGTGACCCAATTGAGCTGACATTTTTCACACAGACTCGTTGTGCGTGACAATTAATGTTCGTGAAAAAAAGATTTCCAAAATTTTACACTTTTTAGGACAAAAATATTATATTTAATTACCAATTGCTTAATGGTGCAATGCAATCATCTGACCCATAGGTGGCAGCCATCTCAAGCCAGAGGACGAGAGGACTCCAGCCGCCACGCATATAAAGGATTTATAGTGAAAAACTTTGTTTTTACGGGTTATACTTGTTACAAGGAGTCATGTTTGCATAGACCACAATACCTGCAGTCATAATGCAAACAAAAAACATAACTCTGAAAATGTGTGCACTGTCCTTGAAGGTGTGGACCAATTAACTTCAAGGACAGTGCACATTTTCAGAGTTATGTTTTTTGTTTGCATTATGACTGCAGGTATTGTGGTCTATGCAAACATGACTCCTTGGAAAAAAAGGTGTCAGTTTTGTTGCCAGATAGAAGGGTAAAGAACCAATTATGATATAAATACTCTTTGTTTTTTTCCGGTAAAGTCACGTAGGTAAAAAGTTAAATAAAATAGATGAAAACAACTAAATTAAATCACGACGTTTCGGGCGCATTTAATTTAGTTGTTTTCATCTATTTCATTAAAATTTTTACCTACGTGACTTTACCGAAAAAAACAAAGAGTATGAATCCTTGCAGTCACGAAAGCTTCAAATCTAGAATGAATGCCTCATATAAACCACCTACGGACATGCGTGGAGGAAAAAAGACCTTTAGAGCTCATCAGATTCCTCCACTATAAAGACATTCTGTCTTGATTCGAAGCTTTCGTGACTGCAGGAATCCAAACTCTTTGGTTCTTTCGGTAAAGTCACGTGGGTAGAAAATAAAATAAATCACGACGTTTCGGGCGCAACACACCTGATGACGGACGCTTGTGTTGCGCCCGAAACGTCGTGATCTATTTTATTTTATACCCACGTGACTTTACCGAAAGAACCAAAGAGTAAAGACATTCCGATTCCGAAAAAAACTTAAATGTGCAGCCCTGCAATTGCTCGCGGACACCACCGCTGCCGGATGATTGCCTCCACTCGAGGGAGCTCGAAATTCCCATTATATATCCTTTGGCCTACTCTTCCACGCTGGTCAGACACCAGCGGAAGAGGTGGCCGTACCCACACTTCACCGCACCACGCGCGTCCTGCCGACAGGGCTGAGCGTGCCGTACCACATTTAAACCGGGGGACAGACGCTGGGTCGCGTGGTCTCAATGCCCATTTGTTTGTACTGCCGCGCCGGGAGATCGCGATTGGTGAACCCGGTGCGGTCACCGTCAACACGAGCAGGGCAGCGGCGTCGCGCTGGGTGGAGTGTCCCTTTGCGTTAGCCTTGGCAGGGGGGGTCAGCGTCTTCATTGGGTTTGGCGCAGACGGTGGTCGCGCAAACGAAGTAACAAGGAGGCGGCATTTTTCGATTTAAAGCTTCTTTCGTGACTCAGGGATTCATCTTCTTGGTTCTTTCGGTAAAGTCACGTAGAATGGAAATAATGAAATAATAAAAATAAAACATAAAATAATTCTCACGACGTTTCGGCCACAACGCAAGCAGACCTGTTCTCCACCTATAGGACGGCTGCTTGCGTTTTGGCCGAAACGGCGTGAGAATTATTATATTATGTTTTATTTTTATTATTTTATTATGTTTTATTTTTATTATTTTATTATTTCCATTCTACGTGACTTTACCGAAAGAACCAAGAAGCAGAAGGAGGCATTTAAAAAAAAATTCCGTGTAAAAAAAACCCCTCAATATTCCAAGGGCCACAACAACGCACTGTGCGGCGAATACGAGGAGGCGGTGGGTGGTTACATCGTGACTTAAAAGATTTCGTGACTGGGTGGTTCCTCATTAAATCACTCCGCGAAGCAGCCCTCGAAAAGCCGAGACGCGGCTCCGGACCCGCAGGTTGCCCACCGCTGGGCTAGCGGCATGTGGACCACCCAGCCAGCCCCCCACCCACCCACCCAGCCCCCCAGCCACCCAGCCCCCCACCGACCCACCCAGCCCCCCACCCATCCAGCCCCCCACCCACCACCCAGCCCGACACGCGCGTTCACATCGATCCGCCGAGATGAATCGCGTCGGCAGAAGAGAGAGAGAGACAAAAAGAACCCAGGGCCCAACAAAGTCATCGCCAACCCTCGAGAGGAAACGCCGGTGGAGCGTCCCACGCCGAGCGTGAGAGGAAGGAGGCGGCGATTCCGTCGCTATTATTTGCCCGTCGGAGAGCCGATTGGCCGATTGGCGGAGGTCAATCTCCGCGAAAAACGACGCGCGCGTGCCATCGACGCCCAAAAAAAAAACCCCCTCAAGGGCGTCGTCCCTGACGTTTCGCGCTCCCCCCCAAGGTAAGGCACCACAGCGTCACAGACGAACATTCACATTTTGCCATCGGAAAAATCTGCGGAAACGCACCTCGCCCCACAACCCGCCCCCCCCCCGCAAAAACCATCAAACGCAAACCTCCACGCGAGTAAACACAACTCGAGCCGGTCGAACGCGCTGCACACAACTGGACGCGTGACGACGGCGACGATGATGACGACGATGATGATGACGATGACGGTGATGACGGCGATAGTGACGATGATGATGACGACAGTGACGATGACGACGATGATGACGACGACGACGATAATGACGACAGCGTCGATGACGCCGATGATGACGACGACAGTGACGATGACGACGACCGCGACAATGACTACGATGATGACGACAGCGACGATGACGACAGCGACAATGACGATGATGACGACAGCGACGGCGATGATGATGACGAGCAGTTGGGGCTGGCGAGAGTCGAAGTCTCGACGTTGCGCAACGTCCGCCAACGGGCAGATTTTTTATTTTTTGGGCCCCGTGAGCCACGGGAGTCTCGGTGGTCGGTACCAACTCAGCGCGAGGTGGCAAACGCCGTGAGCTTCCACCACGTGCAGAAAGCTTCGCAGATGTACCGTCTCATTTTCTTCCTTATTCTGCCAAAACGATGCTATATTCTCCGTCAAACGTACCACGGCAACTCTTTAAACGGCATTCATCTCGTACAAAGCGACCGCGCTGGTCTCGCCATCGTACACATTTCTAATTCAGGGATACAAAGCATCAAGAAAATCACGGAGAGCATTCGCCACATATGATGGGTACCGATAATCCTTTTTTTTCGTGCCCATGGCTGAAAACAATAAACCACGAGACCGAGGTCCATCACCGTCACCCTGCAGGGTCCGGCCGATGACCGCGGTCCTTTCAGCGTCGCCGCACGCTCATTAAACGAGACCACGAGGAGCTCCGGGTGGGGGTTGTTCCCGATTGTCCGTGCGAGCGCGACGGTCGGTGACGCTGCGTTTCCAGCGCTGGCCCCTTCAAGGACGTGGCTCGTTTCTCGCAACGAATCTTCAAGAGCCACGTGAGCTCTGTGAACTCGCTCCCATGCCGTGCGCCACACTCCCGGAGGTAAACAATCCCACATTCTTTCAATTATCAACAGGGTTCACAGACCCCGCGCAACGTACAACGACGCAATGCCCGATCCGCACAGAGGAAGCGGACATCTCGGCGGCGACGATGGTCCATATTCTTAGGTTTTTTCGGTAAAGTCACGTAGGTAAAAAAATTTAATTAATAAAAGTAAAATAAAATATTAATTTAAAATTTTTACCTACGTGACTTTACGGAAAAAACCTAAGAATATGAATCCTTGCATTCACGAAAGTTTCAAATCTAGACGATGGTCCACTCCGTCGCTCTTAGCGCGGTTGCCTGGCTTGACGCACCTGAATGTGACACTGCAGTTGCTGCTCTGCACATCTGCGTCAGCCGTACGGCGAGTGGAATGAACCTGAGGGCTTGGCGGATGCTGAGGGTTAGGCGACACTGGATGAGTAAAGGTAGAAACTGCCAAGGCAGCCCACAAACTAGCCCAGTGTCGGCCGAGCGGGGGATGGCTTTCTCTTACCAGGCGAGGCCCACTGAGTTGCAATGTAGCTAATTGTTTCACAAATGATAGCTCAACGGAGTGTGGGCTGACCGTCACGTAGAAATGTACAGCAGCCAAACACTCTGAACGCGTGACGTCGATTCTAAATGTGGAGGGGGGGAAAACCGGAGGACCCGGAGAAAAATCCACACGAACCACGGGGAGAGAGAGACACGCAGACTCCAAATATACAGCAGGCATCAGGTTTGGGATAAAACCCACGGACCTCCTGTATACCAGGCGAGGTAGTTAACATCTCCTAGCCACCGTGATGATGATGATGATGAGAGAGACACGCAGACTCCAAATATACAGCAGGCATCAGAGTTGCGATAAAACCCACGGACCTTCTGTACACCATGCGAGGGAGTTAACATCTCCTAGCCACCGTAATGATGATGAGACAGACGCAGACTCAATACACAGCAGGCATCTTCAGGGTTGGGATCGAACTCACGGACCTCCTGTACACCAGGTGAGGTAGCTAACATATCCTAGCCACCGTGGTGATGATGAGACAGACGCAGACTCAATACACAGCAGGCATCTTCAGGGTCGGGATCAAACCCACGGACCTCCTGTACACCAGGTGAGGGAGTTAACATCTCCTGGCCACCACAGTGCCCCTGGAATGAGATGTGCTCGTTAAAAAAAGGGGCGTGCGGATTTGAAACCACCGCGTTGCTTCAATGGGAGCCTCATGGCGCCGTGGCAGGAATCTACGTTATGGGTACCAGATGTTTCCCCTGCCCCGCCAACACCCCAGAACGTTACGTAAAATGTCTAATTGCCGTTCCCCAACGTGCGGTACGAGCCTCTGCGAGCACCGCACGTTGTCGCCACGCGCACGAAGCCTCGCGCGCGTGGAGACGGGACACATTCCCTTTTGCGGATCGTCACGGACGCGCGTGACGACGGTAGCGACCTTGGTTTGGACGAAAGTGCGAGAAAATCCCTGCTGCCCGCGTGACGACCTTCGCGGGTTGCGGACGGCGCGGGCGGTAATCGGTCCTCTTTGCTAAACTAAACTAAACATGTTCATATAATCAACGTTTTTAGGTTTAGATTGCGTTATTTATAAATGTGTCGTAACCCTCCACCACCCGACACGGCCAATCAGTAAAAAAGTGTCACGTTGACAAAAGACAAATTAGTTCACTGCTTTAGCCCACCGGTGTGTTGAAGCGCGAATAATATTGGTCGCGAAAGCCTACGTGTTAAACTAAACATGTTCAATTACCGGCTAAGGCCACGCTGAGCTGCGTAGCTCTTCTTCAGAGCCCACGTGGCAATCACAAATGATATCTCAACGGAGTGGCTCATCATCATCGTCATCATCACGTGGAAATTTATAGCCAGCCGAATAATCTGAACCGTCTGATGTTGATTCTAATTGTGGAGGGAAAATACCGGAGGTCCTGGAGAAAAATCCACGCAACTACGGGGAGAGAGACACGCAAACTCCAAATGTACAGCAGGCGTCAGGCTCGGGATTGAACCCACGACCTCCTGTAGACCAGGCGAGGTAGTTAACATCTCATAGCCACCGTGGCGTGCCGAGAGCCGCGTCCGTTCACACGTCGTCTCCCCCGTCGCCTTTAGTCGAAGGTGTTTAAGAAACGTAGATCGTCTCCTCCCGTCCGTCCACGCTGCGGTGACTTCGGTGTTTAGAGCTGTCGCCAACACACACACACGCACAGTAAACACACATACGTTACAGCACAGTTACGACGGAGATCCATACAGCGTCTCAAATGCGATCGCATCTCGTGATGCTGTGCAAGCAACAGCAGCAGCAGCGGTCAATATTGAATCTTGCTTTTTAAAGACAGCGGCAGAGGCATTGAGGCTGCCTGGAGTTTAACGGGAGCAGGGAGCCGACAGCATGGACGGCGGGGGAAGGGTCCGCGGAGTTCCCATAACCCCCCCTTCCCCCCCTACGTCGCGGTTCGTGCTCTGTATCGGGCTCCTATAAAAAACAAAAACTACAATAACGATGAAAACAAATAAATGGTGATGTAGCGTCCCCCTCACCGGGCCGAGGGCCTCGCTCGCCGGCTTGCGGCACGCCGCGCCGACGCACGACTGCAGCGCCATGAGGCGCTGGTTCATGGAGACCAGCAGGTTGGGGTCCACGGCCTTCACGATGTTGGTCAGCTGGTGCGCGTCGGCGGTCACGTTGTACAGCTCCACCGTGGCCTGCAGAGACAGAGAGCCCCGCCACGCCGTAGAGTCTCGGCAGACTTCGGGGGCGAGCGCCACGGCACACGACGGGGGTGGGTGGGTGGCCGGCAATGCCAGGCAGAGGTCGCAACCGGGTACCCGATACCCGTACCCTACCCGATACCCGGCCGGGTACGGGTAGCCGGGTATCGGGTAGGGTACGGGTACGGCCGGGTACGGGTACCCGATTGCGACCCTGGTGCGGCCGGGTACGGGTAAGGAATCAAAACCCGTTTGCGACGTCTGCCGCCAGGCCCGGCCGCCTTTGTCTGCCGAGTGGTTTTGTTTGCACACCGCACCGGGTACTCGTTCGAGGCTGAGCTGACCTAGTGGGGGCCCAGGACCGGTTCGGACAATCGTCGCTGGTGTTGGCCGAGAGCGGGAATCGGCCTCAGAGTACGGCACGGCGCGCTAACCGCCATACCGCCGCAAGGGAGGGGTCATTTTTTCTAAATTTGGCAAAGTTGAGCTCCGACCGACGCAAGCGGACGACGGTCCGCCCTTGCGAATTTACGTCAGGGGATGTTTCCACGTCTGCTGTGAGTGAAGCGGACGGCACGTAGTGGGATGACCACGCTCATAAAACTCTCCCGCTCATTGCTCAAAGACGTCGATGATCTTCGGCTTCCTTCAACGTAGCTTTGTCCACGATATCACTCAACAGCTCTCTCATCAGATCACTCCTCCCGGCTGCATCCAATTCCTCAAATTAGCCACGGTGTGGCTCAATTTGCCACCCGCTTAAGAGTTTTCTCAGACTCTGGTTTTCTCATTACGGTAACCCACACCGGCGGTAGAAACTAAACTATTTTTTTTATTTAACCGGGTAAGGCCCACTGAGCTATGTAGCTCTTCTTCTTGTTTCTTTCGGTAAAGTCACGTAGAAGGGAAGTAATAAAATAATAAAAATAAAACATAATAAAACAATTCTCACGACGTTTCGGCTACAACGCAAGCAGCCGTCTTCAGGTGAAGAATGAGACACTACCAAACTAGGAGCTTATATATAAGCTGCATTGGGGGTTGAAGAGCGCCTTAACAAAAAGAATGTGCATGTGAAGAGGAATTTAGCATATTCATGGAAAATGCGTAGGCGTTGGGCGGGGGGGTGTCAAAGTCATATTATGCCCATGCATTATGCAGGATCAGCAGCAACCAAGGGGGGTGCAGGGATTAGCAGTAACAAAGGGAAGGAATGTTAATGATATGTAGCTGCAGTTACTCAACAACCACGTAGAAAACTAAAGTATAAACTACATAAAAAACTAAAGTATAAACTGCATCGCACCATCAGTATACTTACTATACTCTATAATAAGCTGAGTTACTAACAGCAAGTAATACATTACCATTCTACCTCGTAAAAATTCTATAATATGCTTCCATCTAGACCTTATTCTCTTACATCACACGAGCATATACCGTACTATATACTGCCATAGATAAACCCAACATTAAATTATATACTGTATTGCTGTAAACCAACCTATATCTTATACATTTAATATAACACTATGTATTATTCTACACACCCTAATGTGTGTCGAAATGGTTTATTACGTCCTTCCAATGATTGCTGAGCCAGAATCCATCTTCTCGGTTAAAATTGTCTCTGTGTTTGTATATGTGGATCGCCTCATGAACGAATCTCTCATGATAGCCAGATGGCTTGCAGAGAACCTCTGTCTTGGAGAAGTCAATATCATGTGAGCCCACTGAGTTGTAACAGTGATCTGCCACGGCTGAGGTGTTTGTCCTACCGTGTTTCAGGTCAGCTTTATGTTCACGGATGCGGTCCGAGACATGTCGTTTGGTTTCCCCAATGTAACTGCTACCACAGAGGCAACTTAGTTTGTAGACGCCAGGGTACTGTATGTCTGGAACCACATCTTTTACAGACGGTACCAGATCACGGATTTTATGTACTGTGTTGAATCGGACCTGGATCTTGTGTTTAATCAGGATTTTGGAGATCTTTTTTGTGACCCCAGCAATGTAGGGTAAGGTGATGGTCTTGAAAGGCTCCTCAACAGGATCCTTCTTGATGGTTGGAGTGATGGCTTTGCGGATTGTATAGTCGGAGTAACCATTTGCCTTAAGAGCTTGGCGTACGTGTTTGAGTTCACTGGAAATGTGTTCATGGTCGGAGATGCATTGGGCTCTATGATATAGAGTCTTGATGAGGGAATTCTTCTGGGATGGATGGTGGTGGGAATCCGGTTTTAGATAAGCATCCGTGTGGGTGGCTTTCCTGTAGACAGAGTGGCTCATTGAACCATCAGGTCTCCTTTTGATTAGGACATCCAAAAAGGGTAGCTTGCCATCATTTTCGACTTCCATGGTGAATCTGATGGCTGGGTGTATGGAATTGATGTGGTCGAGAAATTGATCTAGAGCAGGCCGGCCATGTGGCCAGATGACAAAAGTGTCGTCTACGTACCTCTTCCATAAGGTCGGGCGTAGAGTGGCAGTCTGGATAGCGTCCGTCTCAAATTTCTCCATGAAGATGTTGGCTACAACCGGAGATAGGGGGGAGCCCATTGGGGTGCCCTCAATTTGCTTGTAGAAGGTTCCATTCCAGGTGAAGTATGTATTGGTTAAGCAGTGTCTCACCAGGGGGGGTACCCCAGCATTCAGTCCTTGATGAACCAAGTCTTCAATGATTGCGATGGTGTCAGGCACAGGTACCTTGGTGAACAAGGAAACCACATCAAAACTGACAAGCAGGTCGTCTGGGGACAGGGCAATCCCCTTGATTGTCGATACCAGGTCAGTAGAGTTTAGTACTGCAGAGGTGGTTTTTCCAGTGAAAGGCCGTAGGATTTCGGACAAAAAACGAGCCAGTTTGTAAGTGGGGGAGTTGATAGTAGAGACAATGGGACGAAGAGGTGTATCTTCTTTATGTATCTTTGGCAAGCCGTACAATCTTGGTGGTCTGGCTGCAGAAGGTTTCAACGAGAACTGTTTGGTCTGATCAATTAATGCGGTTGAAGCAGAAATGATGTTGTTGGTTTTGGAGACGAGGCTGTTGGTGGGGTCTCTTTTTATTTTTGTATAGCTGCCATCGTTTAATAGTTCTTGAATTTTGTTGTTGTATTCTATTTTGTCCATGATGACAGTGGCATTGCCTTTGTCGGCTGAGAGGATGACAATGTCATCCCTCTTTTTTAATTGAGCTAATTCAAAACGCTCCTCTTTGCTGATGTTGCTAGCTGGCATCTTAGCGTTTTTGAGGGTTACAGAGATTTCAGATCTTGCTACGTCTGCAGCGATGTGACTCAAGCCCTTGAGAGCTACATCTACTCGAGCAATTATATCATTAACTGGTATGTGTCTAGGTGTGACTGCAAAGTTTAGTCCTTTAGCTAAAACGGATTTCAAACCTTCAGAAATAGGACTGTTACTGCGATTAATTACGACTTTGTTAATATCTAGCTTTTCAATGTGTGGGTCCGGTTTCTTGTTTGAGAGGCGATTGAATTTGGAAATCAAGTTGTCCTTACATTTAGTCGACATAGCGGCAGCTGAAGAGGCAGTCATTTTTTCCACATGTTCCCAATCCGATGTGGACATTGTTACACTCAAAGATAAGTGTGATTTGTAGAGTGTCTTGTCTAACTGATCTAGTTCGGTGCGCGTAAGTCTGATTTTCTCTGAGATAAGAGCTAAGCTAGTTCTAGACAGAATTCGTTTCGCATTAGAAGAAGTTACAGCAGCAGATGTTAGTGTAAATGCGTTTGGTATTACCTTAGAGTCGCGGCATCTCTTCAGAAAGGTGAGAGACTCGATTAGCTGAGCCTTCTTATCCCGGAGCTTGTTGAAGGATCTCAAAGTTATGTGGAAACCCTCCCCGTAGAGGCGGTTAAATTTCGATTTAAAGCTTTCGTGACTGCAGGGATTCATCTTCTTGTTTCTTTCGGTAAAGTCACGTAGAAGGGAAGTAATAAAATAATAAAAATAAAACATAATAAAACAATTCTCACGACGTTTCGGCTACAACGCAAGCAGCCGTCTTCAGGTGAAGAATGAGACACTACCAAACTAGGAGCTTATATATAAGCTGCATTGGGGGTTGAAGAGCGCCTTAACAAAAAGAATGTGCATGTGAAGAGGAATTTAGCATATTCATGGAAAATGCGTAGGCGTTGGGCGGGGGGGTGTCAAAGTCATATTATGCCCATGCATTATGCAGGATCAGCAGCAACCAAGGGGGGTGCAGGGATTAGCAGTAACAAAGGGAAGGAATGTTAATGATATGTAGCTGCAGTTACTCAACAACCACGTAGAAAACTAAAGTATAAACTACATAAAAAACTAAAGTATAAACTGCATCGCACCATCAGTATACTTACTATACTCTATAATAAGCTGAGTTACTAACAGCAAGTAATACATTACCATTCTACCTCGTAAAAATTCTATAATATGCTTCCATCTAGACCTTATTCTCTTACATCACACGAGCATATACCGTACTATATACTGCCATAGATAAACCCAACATTAAAATTATATACTGTATTGCTGTAAACCAACCTATATCTTATACATTTAATATAACACTATGTATTATTCTACACACCCTAATGTGTGTCGAAATGGTTTATTACGTCCTTCCAATGATTGCTGAGCCAGAATCCATCTTCTCGGTTAAAATTGTCTCTGTGTTTGTATATGTGGATCGCCTCATGAACGAATCTCTCATGATAGCCAGATGGCTTGCAGAGAACCTCTGTCTTGGAGAAGTCAATATCATGTGAGCCCACTGAGTTGTAACAGTGATCTGCCACGGCTGAGGTGTTTGTCCTACCGTGTTTCAGGTCAGCTTTATGTTCACGGATGCGGTCCGAGACATGTCGTTTGGTTTCCCCAATGTAACTGCTACCACAGAGGCAACTTAGTTTGTAGACGCCAGGGTACTGTATGTCTGGAACCACATCTTTTACAGACGGTACCAGATCACGGATTTTATGTAC